CCCCCACCCTGGGAGTTCTGCGCTCCGACAAATTTTACAATTTCCAGCATTTGTAACTACTACCCACCGTTGTTCCTGCGATCTAAGTGTTATTGTATACACTTGTTAATATAATTCATCAATCGGGCCACTACCAACATATTAACTTTATCTCCTCTCTAATATGTCTACCAGTGATATCACCCAATGTTCAGAAACTCGAAAGTACTACACTATTAAAACAAAAACCCCAAAAAACACTTAAGTGTAAGAAAAATAAAACCAAGTATAGGAGTGCTCTGAGTTCCTCTAAAAAAAAAGGATTAAAATCATATTATGAATGCCAAGTACATAAGTCACTACGTATCTGCGTATTACATGATCTAACATTAGACCATCATTTTAATTGTATTTTCAAAATTTCCTATAACGTCTTTCCTATTCTTTTATATGACTACTGTTTCTCATAATTAATTACGATTTGATGACCATTTAATAATTAATAAAACTTTAGGTGATTCCTTATAGAGTACTACTTGGAGGGTCCGTGCATTACTTGATATAAATTTGCGTTCATTATGCCAGTCTTCAAACTCAAAACCAACATCAACTTTCTATACAGAGCATATTAACAATCAAAACTTTACAACTGCTTATACATACTTCTGTTGCTACTATTCATTATATTGGGGAAACTAAAAAAACTTGTATATTTATTCGTAAAACAAGGTTTCCAGAATTTGGTATATTAGGTGAAAACGGATGAATACTCCAAATTGAAGTGGTTCTAACGCTCAAGCAGTAATTTTATTAAACACCACATAATAAACGATATACATGTGTTGTATCATACTGTAAAAGCCAAGTACACATGTAAATAATTTACGAATGTAAGTTAATTGCTAGTTTATAAGGAATTTAAATCTATATATCATCCAATCCATGCATTCTCAATATATATCTCATGTCTTTATTAATCCCAGCTCTTAACTCTAAATTCAGGTTCCAAAATTGACCAGTTTGGAGAATGCTTTTCACTGGATAACCAGTTAAAGTCATCGACACAATTCCAATTGTTTACTTTCGGATCAAGTCCAGCTAAATTGAAGTGACTCGTTTGATCTTCATAAGTCCAGTTATATGGAGCTACTCGTATTTTAGTGCAGTCTTCTATAATCGCTCTGCTCGTTACATGAAGGTAAATTGTACAGTCAGTCGAAGAATGTAATCTTAATTGCTGACATGCAAATGCGAATTGACATTCTGTGCAATCGTGGATAAATACAGATGATGCAACAGGCCCTACAAGGATAGTGCATTGTTTTAGGTTAATCATGTGTAGTGTACTGGGTGTACCATATATTCGTACTGTGCATCGGAGTAAATCGGAGAGTAGTACGTCATTCTTGTTAACATTTTCAGCATCAAGTACCAATTGGTCATCAACTTTTCCCATTACAGTATAGGCACTATCACCATATTTGCTTGAGAGTTTGTTGTTCTGCTTAGTGGTGCCATTTACAATGCCCTCTGATATTTTCAGATCTTTTAAACCATCTGTGACATCATGCACTTTCTCTATAGGCTTTTTAACTGCTCTGCGGGCCTTAAAACCAAATTTTTTCTTGGGCAGGAGTTTTAATTCAAGCTCACTTGCTTCATTTTCTAAGAGTTGTAAATTCTCTTGAGCTCTTCGTATGTCGTACATTTTTAAAAACATTTTTGACTGTGATAAATAGTTCTTGAGCGTTTGGATTTCCTTATTTGCTTTGTCAAAAATGCCAGGAAGAGCTGACGTAGGTGCAGTGAGTGCATCGTTCAACATATCTTTAACCTGCTTGCATGATGCATAGAATGCGTCTTTAAAGTAACTCGATTGCTCGGAATCAACAGCGAGTTGCTGCCGTTCCTCTCTTCGTCTCTCGATAACATTTTTTCGTTCACGATCTCTCTTTGTAATACGATCGGACAAACTGCCTTCTATCAGACTAGAGGAATCCATATTGAGGAGATACTATTTTTCTGCCCCAGAGATATTGCTCTTTAGTTTTGAATTGGTGTAACTAGCATCACCCTGAACTTGTTGGGTCATAGGATCCGGCACTCTAGCAGCTGTTTGCAGGATTTTAAGCAGTTGTTCTTGCTTTTTCCTATCAACCTTTGGGTATTTCTGTCCCTCTTGCAAATTCTGAAATGAAAAGTTAACAGTTTCATATTCTCTGACACCTGTCAATTTGAACATTTTTTCACAAGCCAAGTTACCATGGGTTTTTTTTTGAGATACAGATAGCTAAATTCAGGTTATATGATATAAACCTCGTAATCAAAGAAATGTTTATTAAAATCCTAATTATATTACTGGAAGTATGTAGTTTTAATGAAAAATATTGGCAGTATATTCAAAATCATATGGTGTGAACAAAATTATCAATAACTAATGATGAAAATAATCTGTATTCAGATCAATGTTACTATATCAATTCTTATGTAAATTCATTACCTTAATGAAATCTTCTTCTTTCACTGAGGTAACACAAAGAAGAGTATAACTTACACCACCAGAAATAATCAAATAGAGAAAACTTTTTAAGTACGCCATCAAGTGCTTGTAATCATTAACGTGATTTGTTTCTCTCCCAATCTTCAAGATCTAATGTTCTTATTGTCGTATGCCCAGAAAGTTTTTCTCCAACAGTGTAATATCCGTTCAGTATTTCAGGATAATTTTTGTACATGTAAAATCTGAAATCTAAAAAAAAGTTCTTCACTCCAAGTATACCCATTTTCAACACTCTTCGCACTGGCATATATCACAGCAACCAACCGATATTAAAAATAAGAAAGGAGTCTTAAGCTTTAAGAATTCTTTATGTCATTGGAATGAGCAATATAACGATGAGAACAATTTTTCGCGCAACATTACAATTCAATATCACAGAAAAAAGATACACATGTATATATCTGCAAGAGCTATCTCAATAACACGATCCTACAAAAAAATCAATGAACGACTTTATATCTCTCACGGAGTAGAAAATTGCTAATTTTCGAAGTAACCTACAATTGGGAGCGGCAGTCTGAATGCTGATCACTACGCGTACCTTGTGATGTATTCATGCGATTCCAGACATAATACGAGCCACAAAACAATGCTAACTCTATTGCCAAACCAGTAATTGTAAATACTTTTATAAAACCGAAAAGAGACTTGCTCCGGCCCATACTACGACAGGCGGTAAGATTTCCTTAAATGGAAATCATCAATACCGTGGTGGAGAGACAAAATCTTGAGGGAGAAGCGACGTAATGGCTAGAAACGACCAACGGGTTACAGCAGCGATACACACCTACATGTAGCAGCCAGAAAATATGTAGATACGAGTAGGGGCAATGGGCAACTACGAACAATACTCTGCAATCCTCTAACCGGCTCACCCACGTTCACGGGAACACAAGGAACGCACCTCATTGGATCACATTGGTTAATATGTTCTCTGTGCAGTAAAACGGATCTAACGTCAGCACTTGTTTCCTTTGACATCAAGACGCGCCACATGTGAATATATGTGACGCATCACAATGCCATACGTCTTCAGATAGATATATTTTTAATGAGTATAGCGAGAAAAGATGACGAGTATGTTAAGTAAGGATATAATGAATGATTGAATGATCCTTAAATTATTTTGGTAATATATATAGAGTGCGTATACTATTATATGGATTTCATAATAGTCGTAAGGATAAAAGAAACAGCAGAATCTGTTTAAATTCAAATCATATTCATTGTGAATATATGTTATAAAAATATATATGCATAACAAGTTTTTAGAGTGGCGATTCTTTAATTAACTATTATTATATTAATCAAACAAATTGGAGATCACTTTAGAGCGCGTATCCTATACTGTGTCGACATTTTGAATTATTAGAATTGTTTTATTTAATCGTGATATTTTTTATTTGTATAATAGAGTCATCTACTTATCATAAGCTGTCCTGCGTGATACTGAATATTGTATTATAAGTATTGTGTTCGTTAATTCCGTGTGTCATCCCATAAATTTGCGACTAATAGCCGAAGCAGCCGCCCTTGGAAGAAACGAAGTTTTAAACATTGTTAAAGAAATTTAAAAAATAATTTTATAATAAACTTTTTCCTGTTTCTGACAAATATGATTGTACACGATGCAATATTATAATGCTTTAAGATCCAAATAAGTAAAATTAAGATGAACTGCTCTATTGGTTTAAAGGTATCGGGAGGTGTTTATATGCTAAAAATATAAGACACATAAACATTACAATTTTTATATACTAAATTATATAATGTTAATAATTTTAGTCACGTTGTAGTAATGTACAAAGCATCGATGACTTGACATCCTTAGCGTTGGTCTTTAGGCCAAGGCATTACAGCATAGAATAGTCAATCCTTCTGTCTATGTACAATCGTTACTAACTCTCTTCTGTTTATGACAAAATGGAGTTCGCTACAATTATTCATATTGTTTCTCTCGTTATTTCTTTTTGTTATTTTCAGCAAAGACAAGAATCCCAAATGAGATATCAAGTGCATAGCGCACAGCTTCTGTGAATATAATTGCAATAACTTTCCGAACAGAAAATAAAAACAATAAGGATTAACTTACGTTTCATAGCCTACAGCGTTGTGTCTAATTCTTTCTCATATAGATAGATGAATGGACGACACTTTTTATAATATACGTGCAGAAAATACAATCCGAGATGACAAGGACTCTTCCCTAGTGCATAACAATACGAAAATCTTATGTCAACATACATGAGTCTACAGAGAATATGGGAAAAAGTTGGTATTGATTTGATAGGTCAGTTTTTTTTGTACATTGATACTACTATATGGTATACTCTTTTGACAGAGCGATAACACATAACGATAGAGATGATTGTATCTATTAAAAAAAAAAATTTCAATTGATAATACTTATTGTCCCACGTTAAAGAATCGATGGCCAATTATGTCTTAAGGAAAGGGTCCATGTTGTCTAAATAAAACTCTTAACTGATTTTACTATAAATCGGTATCTTATATCGTAATCAAAATCACTCGCTTATCAGTAATAATCTGGTAGTTCCAGCGAAGTATACAAAAACTGGAGAATTCTCTAATCTAGAAATACTCGTACGTACTAAGTGCGTCCGATTAATGTCAACGCGATCTCCTCGGCTGGGAATACCGTGTGCATTTGCGACACATTACAGCTATTTACATTTATATGCGAGAGAATAACGTACGCATTGTCTTATTCATAGCATGCACGGACGTTCCAATGCACTACTCCATGTTTTTGTTAACGATTCGTTTCTTTTCGTTTTCACTTATTTGTGTTATCCACTTCGGTAGGTAATCGATAACGTTTGTCTTGTTCAGTTGACAGTACAATTATCAGTATCGATAAATCAATTGTGATTTTCATATACATAGAACAGGACTTATATGGTAAAGTTTTTTTTGACATTATTTCTGAAATTTTGTATTTGCATTTCGTTTTTACACTTAGATTTTAGATTTAGGAAATCGTTTATTTCTGTGAGGTAATGATATCTTGGGATATTGATAGTTCTCTTTGATGAGAAACAATAATTGTTTTGATGAAGTTAACGATAATAATTTCATTACAAGCTTTTATTGAGAAATTAATTGAATTTGTGATTTGTGTAAGGGTCACTGTAGAAGTTGGATGAATTTTGGTCTTGTATTCTGAACTATGTACTTAGAACACATAAAACAAATGTTTGCAATGACAACGATTGCATTCACGTGTGACCATATGTAGAAATGGTCGACAATTCAAGTAAAATTTATGTAACAACTGTAATCCATAATATCTCTTTATACAAGTGATTTACAATATCACTTTGGGTATTCGTTAAATCAAAACCGCAATATTAGATGTAAAATTTAATACAGTTTCTTATTTCTTTATATTGCGATTGCGAGTCATAAGGCAGTATATAAGCTTATGAATGTTTTTTACCAAAGATTATATTCTTTTACAGTCATATTTTATATCTAGAATCACGGCATACGGTTATCGATGTAGCACTCCGTTTTGTCCAATTCAAAGTTCATTAATTTCTAATTCTGAATTTCTATACGTTTTCATTATTGCTTGTTTCGTATCTTTCCTAACCTTGGTCATCATTTAATACGTTATTAACAGCAAAATGAAGATGGCCATGACTATTCCTTGATAAAGTTATATGAACCTTTGACAAAGCCTCAGCAATTTTTCAATTAAATTACAAGCTGATAAAATAAGCTGACAATTTTTGAAATCATCATGTAAACACACATTTTAGTATTGAAAATAAGGAATAATTCTTTTCCAAATTTCAGGTAAATCTCTTATATGGTATTCCAAATAATTGTGCTCCGTAATGTCGTTTATTGAAAAGACATCTGTACATATATGTATATCTCGCTTTTTGTGATATAATTAAGACCTTCGATTACGTTATTTCATCAAACAAAAAGCCCGTTCACAAGATTTGGATATAGTCATCCTATTAACTGTCACTACGTTTTCGAGTGAATTCTCCTTTTAAATAAAAATGAAGAACAATAAAACGTATATTATTAGTATAGAAGTTGAAACTCGACAACTTATCACAACCGTAAGCTTGCTTCTCATTTTAATAAAATTGTGCGCAGCCAAAGACTTAGATAACGCTAAGCACATCGCATCATATACGTAATTATTTCCTGGATATGGGAGCACAATTTTGTGAATCCAAGTTCCCAAATGTTCAGTTACCCAAATGGTACAGTTCTATTAAATTCAGAATTCCCAATTTAATATGTAAGCAGATATTAATAGACCTATAGAGTTTGCCGCTATATTGTTTGATATTATATGAGCCTAATTTTTTTGGCAGGACATGGCAATTTATAAAATGAGAGTAACGTTAATAACCTACCCAACGTTAAGTATGTATACCACAATATAAAATCACTCAATTAATATAAATAAAACCTATGTCTCAAGATCCGCAGTTTTTTTTCACCTTAGTGGTTTTAACGAGAGCGTATAAATATACGAAGAGAACAAAGAACTAGGAATCGTACAATAGTGCCTTACGACTCGGTTCTCCAAAATTTATCCAGTCTTAAACAAAATATAATTTCTAATAGCACATACCAATTTCGGTCATAGATAAAAAATAATTCCTTTTCAATTGGCACGATAATATGTATATTCCGTGTCAGTCCTTTAATTTCGAAGTTGTCAGTAGCTCCCTTTCTGTGAGAATAATTTCCGTGATGTAATATTTCCCTTTTTTTTTTTAAACGACTGTACAATTTAAAATCTTGCTTTCCAGTGCCAATCCCATGAATGAAGTTTTCCATATATATTGTTTGCCTCTAGTCCCATTAACGCAATAATGCTCTTCTCTATTTCTCCATATGTGGATCACAACACAAGTCTCCTTATTCCAGCATACACAATGTGTAACGCAATTCGCATACTTCTGTCACATCCACAAATTACGTAAGAAAAAAAAAAAAAAAAAAAAGAATACTCGCAGACTCCCAATGTTACACTCAATTATTGGCTTATCTGTAATTGATTGGCTGTTGAGTGCTGCCATCCGATAAGCCCTTTAATTACCCCCATTCGGAAAAAAAAAAAAAAAAAAAAAAAAAGAATACTCGCAGACTCCCAATGTTACACTCAATTATTGGCTTATCTGTAATTGATTGGCTGTTGAGTGCTGCCATCCGATAAGCCCTTTAATTACCCCCATTCGGACATTCGACGATTTGTAAATCGGGGTATCGAGGCACGGGGATTGTGATAAAGGGCTGGGGAGAGTCAACAGGACAGTCTTTTGAACACCATGGGGTCATGGGAGTACTGGTACACTGTGGTCCGCTACGACACCATCTCGTGCCACCCGCTACCGTTTGACGAGTTGCTCTCAGGTGATGCTAAAAATCATAAGATATTAAATGATTATTGGTTATCAACTATCAGGATTCCTCGACAGTGTTTCTCAAGAAAAAGGATTATTATTAATGATTTAATTGAACTAACCAGTCTTTGCATTATCAGCTCTCTCAGGAGAAGACGATCTTGGACCCCATATCCGTACAGTGCTGTCATCAGACACTGAAGCCATCATTTGGTGATAAACGGGATTCCAGGATACGCAATTAACTGTCCTACTGTGCCCCGTAAGAGTTGCTATGGGCAGCTCTCTTTTTATATGCCACACGTATACCTTATTATCTGTAAGAATCGTATACGCAAACCATATACCAATAGGGTACATTCAAATACATAATATACGTAGTTATTAAATGTAGTAACTATTTACTTCATGTAAGAATTGCCCACGTATAATTCTACTACTGTCTCCAATTATTCATAATGAATGTTATGCGAAAGTAGCGTGACAATGATATCACATACAAAATTCTAATCGAGATTCATTCTGATGTCTTAATCATTATACAGATAATGATAATAATGATAACCCACCTTCACTGCCAGATGCAACAAAGTCTTGATTGACACCACCAAAGCAGCTATGAATAGTAAAATGTCCTTGTGTGACACCTTGGAAACGTCTGACTAGGCATCTGTCTTGTAAATCCCAGAGATGCACGCCTTGATTGGCGACATTGAGTAACGCCAATCGGTCCGCTTTATTTACGCTGAAGGACATCACCGGGTGGTCCTCTTGGAGGCTGAAGAACACGCACAGTTCCATCGTGATACGGCACCACAAAATACTTGTTTTCTCATCAGTAGTCGAATACTCACATCGCGAAGTCGCACAACTCATCAAAATTATAACCGCGAATACGATGATGAGAATCGGCGGCTAGCACGGTCTTTCCATCGCTTCTGCACCAGAGACACCTCACTCGCACTCCTTCCCAGGAGTCTAATACGTTACCGTCCATGTCCTAAAGCATCGATCAAAAGGCAATCACGAAAAGACCGTAAGATGCACTCGACGCACTATAATGTAAACTCACGCATTGGTAGAATTGGCCACGTAGACCACCGGTTACAAATTTGTTTGCGTCGCGATGCCAAGCACAGGCTGTGAGCGAGTCCTCAGTGCTTTGAGTCAATTTAACACGTAACTCGCAGTCGGGTGTGTCGACACTCCAGAGCCAAAGTTCAGGACAGTCTTCAGGCCCACAGGCTATCAGGTGACTACTGTCAGGACTCCATGCGATCAATGCCACACCGTACGTATGTCCTTCCAGTGTCTTCCTGTGCGTTACTCTCAAGGTTTCCTATATCACATGTTCGCAGTGGGATAGTTATAGGTCCAAGATTCAATGTTTAACCCTTAACCCTTGAGGTTTTGTTTTTCTTGGTACCCTCAAATCCAAAGCGTGGATCATTTTTGACCGGCTCGTTTCTCACTAACTCAACGTATTAGAAGAAATTTATCAAAATTCTAATATTAGCTTTGAACCTTTTACTACATACTATAAAAAAACATCTGAAATAATTATTTTCAATATGTTTTCATTATATACTCTCAACCTTTCCAAAAGTTCAAATCGGCTCGGACAAAAGTGACCCAGGTTTAGGGTTAAGGGTTAAGTTTATCATCAATGAACTCACGGGGTCAACGTCCCATATGATAACGGTCATATCCTTGGACCCAGTGGCTAGCTTGAGACCATCTGGTGAAAATTTACAATACCAGACTTCATCGCAGTGATCATTGAGCACCTGGGTAGTATGGCACGGGAATTGCTCTTTGCTGCAGCTGTGATCCACCAGCAGCGAGACATTCTCTAGACTCGTCTGATCGAAATAAATTGAAAAATAATTGAGGGATTATTAAACGATTTTTGTTCAAAGATCGTTATCTCTCTGGTATCGTGAATAGGATTTTCTACCTAGTGTAAAATTGGAGATATTAACCATGCAAAGACGCAGGTGAGCGATAACTTTGATAGTAAGAAGGTATCATAATTAATTAGAAACTAGTCGGTACCTGAGTATGAGTAATATGGTATGTGCACTGTTGATTTTGCATTTCCACAGCCTGACATAAGAGAGAGTGAAGACGTCGTGGAGGTAACATTATGGAAGGTGGCAAATATTTCTGCAATCTGTCCATTAGAGCAGCCCTCGAGGCAGAACCTTTGCCATCCCAACCGGCACGTGTCTGTCAACAAGTGTCTATTTGCTAGTGATCAAATTTTCAGTTATACGTTAGTTTCATGAACGCTTCTCACGATATTTCGTATTCTCCGCGATTCAAAATCAATTACGACGTCTTTCTGTCAATCGCAACGATAATGGTACATTGAATTTCAGTTTCGTCGTGCGTATCATGCCCTAAGAGAATTCGAACGGCACTCGTTATATCAGTACCTGGAGCTCGTCCCGTCCACTGCACATCATAAAAGCGGACAACTGATGAACACGTCCGGTGTTGTGCCCAAGTGGAGTAAGTTCGTTGCGAAGTACTTGCAAGGCCTCCAACACTAAGCCTTCCTCCAGGTATTCGAGATACTTTTGCTCAAGAAGCAGGAACTTCATTTCCTGAAAGACACGGCGTAACGTAACGTGTCTCAAAGTGGTCCCCGAACGTTCCCTACTTAATGTCCATGACGTGACGGAATTCTCACCACGAGGCTCTGGCCGGAGCCATTTAAGAAGGATTTCAGTTCGTTGAGATCATGATCCGCTTTGTTCCAATCGCCGTCCATCACGTGCTGCCGAAACTTTGCAGCAGCTGGATGGTCCAAGCGGCAGCCTGACTCTTGCATAAGCAAATCAGCGGTACGACTGAAACACACATTTTTTTTTCGTTTCAGTCTTATTAAAACAAAAAAAGAACAGATATTAGGCACGTATCTAATAATGCTAACAAACTGTATCCCTGAGATATTGAATTCATTTTTTAATATTCTATTGTCAAGACTGTACATGACTCACTACACTACATCATTTTCTATATGCGACATGTAAACAAATGCGCAAGGCTTCGTATTACTTTATCCTGTATCTTTTAACATTGAAGATCGAACGGCGACGCATTAATGTTTGGCAATTTGGGGCGTGCATGATCTGAATTTCACGTGATTTGGTAGTGTTGATAGTTTTTGTACGACTTTTCCCGTGTCTGAGCACTAATACTTTTCAGTAGCTATATGGTTATAGTACAATTATAGCTGGTAGATACTATACAGACTATATTCCAAGTTTCTATAATTAGCTTTCTCCCACTTTGTAACTTCCAGCGTAGATACGTGGTGATACAATACTTTTGATAAATGCATTAAAACAAAGAAATTTTATAAGGCTATACTTTTGAATCACTTCTTAGAATATTGCGATTAGACTGCTTGTATCATTCTCGAAATTTAATTACTATCTCATTGATAGCATAGTATAATGACCCTATGTGCATAAAAATAAGTACACAAAGGAACCGAGAGAAAAAGCACATAATAGGCATATTTTCTCTAGACAAATGACGTAAATAGAGCTTGCTGTTTCGAGATTATTCTTTGAGGTATTGAAAGATACTACAACTTGTACGCACTCAAGTCCAACTGTTTTCAAATGCTGTCCGATGAGACGTACAATATCTTGATTTGTTTTGTCCATAATTTTAGGAGGTCCTAGGGCCCTATTAGGTTCTCCATTTATTCCATTCAGATCACCATCAGGTCCTGGCGCTAAGTTGCCATTGGTATGAGGTCCACCAGAATCTGCTGTTGCTCCATTTTGTTGAGGTCCAGATACAGCGGAACCATTAGAGGTTTGCTGCATCACACTGTGACGCATGGGAAAACATCATTCGTAACAATTTTATTATGGATCAAGACAAAGGGATACATCTGTCTGATCATTGTTTTAAATCACTAACATTAACCATCCTTCACAAAGAAATAAAGAACTTTACGATCCTCTCTTCATTAGCAAACCTAATAACTTTGAATATATCACATTGAAGCATTCCTTTTCAAGTACAAATGGGTTGACCCCAAAGTCACTAAACGTTGGATAGATATAAAAGCAGATATGCGAGCGTGTGATTGGATTCACAAAAAAAAATCCCCGTCCCTGTCTTGTCGTGTTACCGATAATTCTCCATCTCGGGGTTGGAGTGGTGCTCGTCCGCTGGTCGTAAGGTAGCCGGGAGACAACTACGGGACCTTTTGCGCGGTGGCGGAGCGAGTCCACCGTCGTCCGACTCGCCGCTCGAGGCCAGGCTTGTGCGCGTACCGCCCCGTTTTTCACACGATTATTGTCCCTGGGTTCGTTGGTGGGGCAAGGGCTGAGGCTGGGGCTGGGGCTGGGGCACGCACGCAGCCACGGTTGCAGGAAAATCGCGCCCCCCTTTTTCCCGTGCGTTTCGGCCACCGCTTGCTACTCCCTCGGACAATCCAATCGTTGACAAAAAATGAAGAAAACAGGATTCTTGTACGACTGCCAAAACGGACACGAACAATGACTGCTACACAGCTGATACTTGTTTGGATCTCCGTTTACGTCACACCACGGTCTTCTTCGGAGATAGGTTCGCTGGCTCGCACATCCTCTATTGCTCAAACGCAGTATGTCAGACAGTCAGCTTCAGAACGAGTCTACATTTTCTGATTTCAACAGATGGCGTTGAAAACTAGAATTACCATCTGAGTTGTTCTTCTACGGATATTATCCTTGCTGATGTCGAATGTTATGTGCTAACCCTTGCTCCTTCAATAACTGGCTAACAACAGCCTACCGACCGTGGAATAGTCTGTTAACGAGCCGTGTTATCACCTGTGCTAACGAAGCTAACATCACAGGTAAGCTCACTTAATGAGGGAGTTGCAAGAACTTCCGCATTGCTGATGGAATCCTGTTGATCAGCTATTGGAGCGGTTGATGTATTTATTCGAATTTCACTTCCATCCTTTTTCATGTAAGCAATTTATACTCATGCTTAGGCGTTATTTCCGCATGGCTTGTGGTTTTTATATCTGATCTCTTCCTCGTATCGACCATATCAACCAATAATAATATAATAATACTTCTTTGGCATTACATTTATTACTTCATGCATTCGCCACTATTATCTACGCCTGTGGAAGGTGAGTTATAATTTGTTAGACGCAGTTTCATTCCTTCGGTTCTCACGGATAATATGCTTTCGCTACGCACTCCATGGCTAGTTGTAATTAATCAAACGATCCCCGTAATACCGATGTTCTTCGGTCGAATATTATTAAGATTGATATGGGGAACATGGTGAAACACCCTTCGAGTAAATGTTCTACAAATTAACTCGCACAACTGAGACTACCGGTATGTCACTTGGGATTAACGAGGATAAAAACGAAGACATTCCTTTTCAAATGGGTTATTTCGTTCCCACGAATTATATATATACATTCCTATGTTAGACCTTTCAAGAGCAGTTATCATTGATGCCTGAAATAAAATCAAATGGTACCATCATTACTTTTACGATCTGTGTAGTGCCAGTCGATGACCTATCTAATTACATCGATTTAATATCCCCATGGGATACTAAAACAATTTATACTCTATGAGAAAAGTATAGGTTATCCTATGATGTTATATTGATAGTGTAACGTTCCGTCCTTATACCCTCCTATCCTCTATCCTTTCTCCTTCCCAATCATCCATTCTCGATGATGGATACGTCAAGAGCCCCACATAAGAGTGCATAGCGCACTGTGGATGTGCGTAACAGTATCTGAGAGAACTCCCCAAATCCTAGAATTCCTCAATAATCCTATCGACCTCTCACAGCGACGCCGATAAAGGAAAGGGAAGACAGGACTTTTAAATATCTAATATTGCGTAATTCCCTTGAATCTAGTCACAGCGCAGTCATGAGGATATAATATTAGAAATTATTACTTTTAATATTCCTAGAATCCGAAATACAGTCGACATACTGAAATCGAAACAAACAAGTGCCCAGACGCTACAAGCCGGCACGCACCGAAGACAATAGAAACACCAGTAATCCGGTACTTGAAGAAAACCACTAATTGAATCAGTGAAATCAAATATCCAAATCCAATCGTAAATCAAAATATTGAATCCAAAAAGCGACGTTAACACCTCGGGTGGATAAAAATCGTTATCCCCACTAATTTTAACGTATGCCTATCGAGGATATAAGCAGCGGCTTCCTCGATAGGAATTCATTCGGTCTACTCGTATCTATCTAGACGAATCGACAAGACCCTTGTACACCACAAGCCGACAAGAAGCTAGTAAAGATTTGGAAAGTGTAAATTATCAAAAAGCTAGGAGAACACCAATCCTCTGTTCCAGAGCGAACCAGTGAACAGTATAGTACTGCAAACTGTGGGAACTCATCCTCGGCAGTTCCTGGTCTTGGAAAGCATTGTGTCTCCACCCTGTATCAGGAAATCTGCCATCCTTGTAGATATTCTGCATCGAAGGCATTGTGCTGGAGCTGTCAGAAATCGACCACTACAGAACAACCACACTCCTCAAAAAGCTCAGGTCCCAATGTCATTGTGATTAGTAGCTGTCTGAGCATCCCGTAGCTCTTACCAGGCCTAAGGAATCATTGTGATACCCCCTAGTGTCAGGAAGGGCATCCCAATTCCCTCTGCATTCTCCTGCAGCGAAGCTATTGTAATAGAACTGTCAGGATTGCAGATCATTCACAAAAACAACCCACCTTAAAAAGATTCAGCTCCCAATATCATTGTGATCAGTAGCTGCCCTGAGTCGATCCTATCCTTAAGATAAGGGATTTATAGCAAACGGGATTCATTGTGATCTCCTGTGGGTACTGAATCATTATCATCCTAACCAATAGCTGGCCCACGGTCTTCGGACGCATTGTGCAATCTGCTGTATTGTGGTTCCAACTACCTCTTTCCAATTCAAAAGGCTAGCAGAGAGAATACGTACAGAGGTAAACAAAAACACTTCTTGTCGCCTGTGGTACTACTAGCAAGCTAGAGACAATTATAAAGTGTGTGCATGAGAGAGAGAGAGAGCAAAATAGAATATTAAGGATACCTAGTCTGTAACTTATAGGACAATATATCATTATTTTTTTTATTTTAAAAAACTCCAGTGTCCAAATTCTTTCTGAAGACGCCTGCTCAGTGTACAAACCCTGCAAAAAGTCTCGTGATTACGAAGGCTATAAAATCACGAAACGTCTCAATAGACGCTAGCTAACTCGTTTATTTTTAAAGATGTTTTCCATTCTGGTACGTACCCCACGAGTTACTATAATACTATATATACCATGCGGGTATAGAAATGTCAGAAACGTTCAATACAGATGTACAGTAACGTGCATAAATTTTTCATAAAGTTCTTGAGCTTATGTCCACAAGCATATCAATAGTCAACCATTGATTTTTCACGACTCTTGTCTTTTCCTTTCTTACAGTGTTCTCACGTGACCAGTCGCATTATAGAAAGTGCTACCCCAAAATCATATAAAGAATCATCATGAATGCTCGTACCCACGCGTTGTTTAGGTACGATTGTATGTATATACTGGTATACTTCAACACGCGAGTATGTTGCAGCGACTTATAAATTGTGCTTATGCAACATATCATACGACACGCACGGGTACGCATACTCTTGGCCGTGAGGCTGTGTGAAAGCTACCCATTCATAACTCTCTCATGCTGAGGGCGTGGAGCCGCGGTGGTTCGTTTAATAGTCCTTTTAGTAGTCACAAGGCGATTTCCTATTAGTCTCTCGTTTCCTGCTCGCCGCTGGTATTATTGGGTGACGCTTATTCGATCTCTGAAAAATTGTCACACAGGTTTATAATAGTATCAAGCCACGACGCCATTATGAAAATAGAGAACAAAGCATATAGAACTGCATCACAGATCCTACAAGAGGAAAACGACATAAGAGAGAAAGAAATTATAATAATATAACTTATTTTGCAGTGACCGAGGTTTATCGTCAGAAATATGAGAAGAGAATACAAATTCAGCTAAAGGATGCCCGAGCCAGCTTTGAAAATTAACCACGGGATCGCTGCTGGGTGATTCCTATGGTCTGACCACGGACATGTTCCTGAGCTATGAGAAAATCTAGGTACTACAAGGCACGTTATATATCCATAAGACCTTAGTGTAGATAGATTACAACCTAAGCCCGGGTCTGGCGCATACCATGCAGCTCTCGATGGCCCTGATCGTGGCCGGCGCATAGCTCGCAGCATAGCTCGCAGCATGGCTCGCAGCATGGCTCGTAGCGCGTTGCCGGTGTGTTGAGCTGTGCTGAGCAGTGCTAGGCTTGGCGGCTGGGCTTACGCTAAGGTTGGCTCGGGGAGTTCGAGCCGGCGTGTGCCGCCAGTCAGTCACTCGCCGGTCGCCGGTACAGCACGTTGCTCTGTAGCGCGTTGCTTTTGCTCCACTTTTATGGCTCGTTAACATTGCTCTCTGGCATGCGTCAAATCCTCCGGCCAAATAGTAATAGATATTAATTATGAAATCTTTCGTGAGAGTTACTTGGCCGCTAGGATGCTGAATACCGGAGCATCCGGACACCTGCTGCTCCGAATTGTGAGTGTAACCCGCTTCTACGTACCATCGTCTTGGTTTCGTTCATGCGTCAGTCTCTTGCGTGTATAATTTCTAAGCATTAGGATAACTTCGTGTTACCAGCGTTTCCGTGCCGTTTGTGCTGTGAGTGTAAAGCCAAGTGTTTGTTTCCACGGCCACCTGTTGCGCGCCCATACGTTCTTGTGTCACGTTGGATTACCAGATTACGAGTGTCGTCGGGATGCCGTCCTTGCCGGGATAGACGCGATCGTCCAGACGCGGAAAGGTATGAACGCTTATTATTAATCTTCTTGCACGAGAACAAATGCGTTGGCGGTTTCATGGTGGACTTTCAGTTCGAGGAGTTTTACAGTCTAAGGTGTACAGTACTCATTTACTGGTCAACCGTTATTCCGTAATGTGCATTCTGCGTAGGCCAATGCGCTTTAGCAGCGTTATTTAGAGGTTACGTTCGATTTAGTTGTCCGATCGAAGAATAACGATAAGATGACATGCCTTTGGCTCGCTTTAGAATTTACTTACCCGAAGGCTACTGACATTCCACGCTTGGGTTTGCCCTGATAACACCGATGTATACGGCGTACCTTCCATCGCAAGTGCCAAGGATCGTGATCTTGATCGCTATGATTTTAAGGAAAATATTGAATAATTGTCTATTCCGTTTTTACCGACCTTACCGTTTATGCCGGTAATCACTAAATGCAGATGAGTACTAAAAAAATCCTCATACAAGCCTATTTGCATGAATACGGTATTCTATTTGATTGTACATAAAAAGAAATTCTTAAAGCGGAAACTACAACGATCAAGATAGTTCCAGCGTCTCGGTTAATCCACGTGCATAGTAAAAATATAATCCGCGTTCAGCTTTAAAGAAATCTTGCTTCGATTATCAAGATTGTGTCATCTCCAAAGGATCGTGACCTTCGTCAACCTGTGTTAACGTAACTCCAGCAGCTCTCGTCTCCGTACAGAATAAGTGACGAAAAATAGTAAAATCCAGGCATAGAACAAATCCGGTAGGCGCATTCATGTTGTCGCACTCCGAAGGCTCTTCTCCTTAGCTGAAAGTGCTAATGACCCTTCTTTCCGTGCCGGCAGCGTCCACAAGGGAGAAGAAAAGAAGAGAAAAGGAAAAGCGAAATAATCGCGTTACCGCGAATGGCCTCTACTATACCCAGCAGTCACACGTATGCACGAGCTCGCGTAAAGAATTCCCGTGGTACGTAGACCGGCGCGTTACCGCACGGTGGCACGTCCTCGACGTGGTCGTCGTGGTCGTCGTGGTCGTCGAAGCCAGGCGGAGGAGTACGTACACGGTAGATGAAGAAGAAGACGAAGAAGAAGAAGGAGAGAGCAGCAGAAAGAGGAAAGAAGTGAAGGAGTATAAGAGGAAGGATACGCAGGCAGGATAGAAAGACGAGAGGAAGACAGAGGAAGGTCCAGAGACGTTGGTATACGCTGGTGAAGGGTATGCAGTGAGTAGGTAACGTGGTGAAGCTGCTCGAAGAAGGAGAATAAAAAGGAGACGGAGGTACAGTTTGTTGGCGATGGTGAGGGAGCGAGAGAGAGAGAGAGAGAGAGAGCGAGTAAGAGAAAGGAAGATAGAAGCAGGAGAGAGGATGGTAGAAGGGGAGTCCCGAGACGGCGGGGACGGACGTAACTGCATTCCAGAGTGAGCGCGCATGCGCACTCCCACCCGTACTAGCACCCGCGCACTCTACTCGACCGGGCCTGACTTGATTCACGCGAGGCTCACCATTCCGTGTTCGCGCTTACCGACACAAACCTTCTTCCGCGTAGCTTGCCAATTTCCAATGACCGGCTGTATAGGTATGCGAATCGCTGTTTGGCTTTTCGCGAATTGCTACTTCGCCCAGGGTTCAGGCTCTTCGACGCTGACGTCTCACGGATCGCGTGGCTCGGGCGTCGACTTACGTCATAAAAATGCCAATGAAACTCCGATCAATGAAAGGCTCGAACCACCTCACGCCATTGTGTGGCATAACATTCGATCTTGCCTAATCCGGCATGGAGTCTCCGTGTATTTAGATTAGTTACGGATTTATAGGATTGACTGGGATCGATTGCATTGATTCACAATTGGGTGTATTGACCGTTTTTATTATTCTCTTCTTAATCGATAGACTGCATCGAATGTGCCTGTCGATCGTGTTGCCGCGTTATTAGCTTATCACGCTTTCTCGCGTGACCTATAGCTGCCAACGCGTATGCAGCGCACGCACGGGCTTAAGTTGCCTTATGTAGCATGAGCCTCCTAGATTGACCATCGGTGCCCGGGTCAGCTGAAAGTTTAATAGAAGCGTCGGTCTATGATCGAAATGAGAAAATAAGCAGGTAACGGACAGAGAGGGAAGTGGAATAAAAAAGGGCATATTTGTTTCACCTGAAACCGATGACTCGTTATCTGTTTTGCTCGAAATGAGAATAACGTCAGGCGTACAGGTAAGCGATCTTTCTCCGAGCGAAATCGTGCATGTCGACTGTAACCAGCTCAAGCGGAGGCTCGTCATTGTAACAGTACAGAAATGCCTGATTGTAGGCGCCGAACGGTTCCCCGATGGCTGTCTTCGAGCACCATGTGCGCTGCTGCATGCTAATACGAAGGAAACGTTAGGCGTGGACGTCGCGCTGTGAAAATAGGACCGGAGAAAACGTATCGCTAATGGCTACCAATTATCGTGGAACGAGCCAGTATGGTTGAGCGATACACGGCTGTCCGAGCTGTAAATACGGTACAGATAAAAATGATATTAAAGAAAATTACGAAAAAATGAATAGGAACTCTAATAGTTACGCACTCCACGGTCTGATTTAATATCCACGAAGCCTACGTATGGGTACCAACATGTTAATAAATACGTAAGATCATGGAAATAATTTTGCCCTTCCGGCTGCCCATTCCTGTTTCATACAACTACTGCCCATCTATATATTTATATGGTTGGTGTCACATCCGGGACCACTTATGGTTTTATCAATAGACTTTTTCTTCTACACGTCATCTCGTATCTGCCCAGCATCACCTTTCCAGCTTTCGATATGGACCCGGTAGGTGCACATTGCCGTGCAGAGTGACGCGTGGTGTATATCTATCTCTAATAAGTGAAATTCTGCGAAGCTTCTTCTATCAGCTCACCAAAGAAAAGGGACCTTGATGGAGCTGAGGTAGCCAAGTGGCCACTCGAGGTAACCGCACGGTAGGTATATGTATACCTACCTGTACGTGACCGAGTGCTCGCGATATCGCGAGTTATTACCCCTTATTGCTGCACACCTTTGCGTTTGTATATCTCACGTACCTACCCGCTCAGAGCCTGCTGACGGGTGTGCGCTTACTCCGGTGTAAATAATGCCAGTGCAAAATACCTTTCGAGGCTGCTCCAGAGGACGTTGGACTACCAGTGCATCCAGGGCATGTATCGCATTGAGTCTACGTGTTAGCCAGACGAATGGAATCCGTCATTGTGCATTTTTTTTTTAAATTTCATATCCCGTGCTTGGTCTGGGAATTATGTGTTTTCAATATGAAATATAGTTTTTGCTGAGGACCAGTTTTTAAGGGATCTAAGGAATATAGCATGGTCGGTTCGATACAAGTCCAGGTAATCTCTATGGGTTTTGAGATTGGGCGAAATAACCTGTAAGATAATTTTTTGAATATTATTTGTTGGTGTATCGCTTACGTGCTCCAGAAACTTTTGGATTTTTCTCCTGATTGTTCTGTCCTTCCCGCTAGAGAAGCTGCGGGTAAGATCTTCTATCTGGGTCACGTACCACGCAGGCATACCAGGGTGTGCGAGATAGAGTGCAGGATAACTATACGTCGTACCGAATAATATCATGATAATCCTGGGATAGGTCCTCGCACGTGACACTCTACACGTGATCCGTTCTCTTTTTCACGGAAGAGATACGCTCACGTATTCACCTGGCTTCGTTCTTCGCGAAAAGGATCTCGAACGAATGGAAGACGCTGTGTAATCTCTTTGAAAAGAAAGAAAAAAAGTGAACGAATCTGGTCTCATCGCTCTGTATCCATATTGTTAGTATGGAAATCTCTATTGGTACGGAATATCCGTGATATTACTTTACAAAGAGTGCTTGTGTCTGGGATTCTATAAGTGTCATTCGTCATGCGGTACCAGTATTTTCTACTGTTATCTGCAAGGACAAGGTTCCCACTGTTAACCAGGTTAACGAAATTCAAGTGAAACTAGATTTTTTTAAAATCCAGATATTCCTGCTTTCGATAATCGTTGTTCTAGCACACAAAACTTTCCCTACCAGTATTCATATCCGAGTAACGAAATAGGCAGCGTATAAATTGGTTCAATGCGAACCGGCTCGTATTTACGTTTTAAACAGTCGGAACGATCCCGCAACAGTCTCAACGATCCCGAATGCTCTGGATCTCATTACTCGGCAGTTCTACCCGAAGATCCCGACCCAATAACTCTCTCTCAAGTAGAAGCACTTGGATCGCGTTCGTTTATCGGAAAGAGCGCGCGCGGACTCCTCGATGGCACTCGAGTGGGTTTCATTCCGGCACTCGGAAGACGAGAGCCACTGGATCGTGGCATGGGTCAAACTTCACTGAGGTCGAGAAGGCCGTAGCGACCTTGACTGGAAGGTGTGCGCCAGGGTATGCGTGCGCGGAACTTTTTTTATTTTTTTTTTTAAATTTGTTTACTGAAAAAGTAAAAATAAGGAATAAAGGATACGGAGATAGAGAGGAAAGAGACGAGGGCAAAAGCCAGCCGTGCAGGTGCACGTTCCACGACGTCTCTTCTACACGAACCGCAAGGGAGCGAGGTAGTCCAGCCCGTAAAAATTCTCTACGAGGGTCTAAATATTCGGAGGATGCCGCGGGGTGATTATAATTCTTGGCCTGAACTTGCCTCGAACTGAGGAATGTCGAGGGGCGGCTAAGACAAAGCGTAACCTCCCTTCCTGCGGGAGCGTATCTCTCTTCGCCGGGAAGATTGGTATCTATAGACGGGCGACAGATGGTGGTCGGTAGCTTCGCAGTTTCGAACTTCTCGCTGTAGTGTACTACGAAAGATCCTGGACCACTGGGATAACATCTCTTCGTAGGTATAACCAGGCTACCTTTGACTCGTACGTATCGGGCTCCGCTTTTATTATCGTTTCACGTGCTGCGCGGTACTGTCGATTTATAGGCGCTTAGGTCCGCTTCGTTCTTACACTGCTCTTGTTACTTCGCAGTGCATTTCTGGTTCG